ACTTAATGTAGTGCGTATATTTAATGTTGCCTATACCTATTCATAATTTAATTATTTGTATTTTACTCGGGCTTTTACAATTATAGTATTTTTTTATACTTCAAATAATGTAAAAAAAATAATTACATAAACGTTAATACTTAAATACTTAATACTTTTCTAGAAAATGAGTGTTTATATTTAAATTAATTTATGAATCACTTATATCACTTATATAGGTACAAAATACAAATGTCAAATACAATATGACATGTAGTCAGAGTAATGTGATGACTCATTTAGAGGACTTTATGACTTGTTATCTCCGTCTAACGAACGTACAGTATTGTCTTATTCTGTGGTATAGCATTGCACACATTTTGCGTTCAGCAGAATCTATTATTATATCCAATATATTGTTAGTTTCAATATTACAGTAAATTTATCAATAATCAAACTTCAAGGTAAGAATATTATCAGCGTTTTTTCTTTATTTGAATTTTAAAATTACAGTTACCAGCCTTTTTAAATATATATATTATTTATATTATGTATAATATGTGTAATATAAATGTTAAACAAATGTTGATAACAGTCACTTTAAATTCACTTTAAAATTAATAAATAGTTAATATTCTTACCTTAATATTTGATAATTGATAAATTTACTGTAATATTAAGACATTTAAAACTAACAACACAAAATTGATTTTTAAGATGACTGCACGATGATTGTGGAGTGATTTATGAATAATGTGAGTCAATAATATTTCGTTTTAAAAATTCTTGTGAATCCAAAAACGTTGCTATAAATATGAACAAAAAAATCCTACTTTGTTATTAAAATTTGTGTAAAAATGTATAAATCAACTCAATTGGCTATTGTAGTCTGTGATGTATGTGATTAATTTCAATTAAATGAAAAACCATTGTACCTATACAAAAAGCAATTCTGAGCGGAGACGTAATAGTATTAATCCACAAGTCCCTGAAATTAATTTTTTTCCATATTAGGTAATTATTAAAATCGTTATTTTTTGTTCAAATTTTGTCAAAATTAGAATTTATAATGTAGGTATATAAAAAAATTATTGTGCCTATTGATTATTGATAGGTAAATATAAAGAATACTCTAAAGTCTTAAGATAATTTTATGGAGAATCTTAACTTTTGAGCTTTTAAGTTATTAAAATTGATAATTTAATTTATGGACATAAAACAATTTTTGATTTTTACAAAATGATGTAAGAATATAATAGTTTCGAACGCTTATAAAAATAAACTTTTTTATTATTTTAAAGCGAGATATGACTTATAAGCATTTTAAAATAGTAAATTGTTTGTGCATTTTAAAATCCTTATAGCTTGCTTTAAAATTAATATACAAAAAAACTTATTTCACTGACTATATAATATTCTTACTTCTAAATTTGGTAATAGGTCAATTCATTCTAAAATGAAATATAACAGAGTTAAATTAAGTATTCGGAATTTCAGAACGTACTATTTGCCATTTGGTATGTTATAATGCGTTAGTAAGACGGATACAAGGTAAACGGTTATAGAGTTCTCTTAAGGCTTCAAGTTTTAACGTCTGTGGACATCGAGTATTGTGAGTATACAAAATAATATTATATTTTACAAATTAAAAATCAATAAAAAAAAGTTAGTATTCACCTATACTGCGGTTTTGCCTTTTTTTAAGGAGACCACAAACAACGTGTTTTCGTGTACTATGCATGGGGTATAGTCGGTATAGGTATTATAGGTAGGTATACCCATCACAACCACTAGACTGGTGCCTACAGGCTACAGCCCATACTCCATAGTATAAAAATACACTAAATCTAACATTGATTTTAAGAATCAAAATCAAGCTCAAGAATTTGTTAGGCCTTCGGTTTTCGAGTTTCGACAGTAGTTGCAAATGGTTTCGGCGGTTTCCTTTAAAAATAATAGTGGCTATTACCTAGAATATATAGACATAGACTGTAGAACTATGATTAAGCTATTGTAGTGAAGAGATCTATCTACATTAGGTATTACCATAGGCTCAAATAGGGGGGGGGGTAGGGGCTAAGCCCCCCATAAAAAATGTCCATAGCCCTCCCAAACATTTCCTACATTTTGTTTTAAGCTTATTCAATATTATCAAAGTAAGGCTTTAGTCCTCCCAAATCTCAAACGCTTTTTGCGACTATGGGTATTACACTATATTATGTACTTATATTATGGGAACAGCAACCTCGTATAATAAAGGATTACTCGACTTTATCCATTATTCCTATAATTATTATAATATTTTTGATATAGGTAGACAAACTTATGAGTAATCTTGTATTACATTTTCAAATCTTAGATTTAAGAAGAAAATTTTTTATGAATTCTTAACTAAAAATAATTTACTAATTTTTGTGATTTTTCCGAATTTTGTCAAGATTTAAACTTTAAAGCTTAAATGCTTATAAAAAAAAAATGTGACTTAGGATTTTTAATATTTTTCAAATGTCATTGTAACAATATAGTAGGAACTAGGAGCCTGGTATTAAATTTTCAAGCTTTCTTACCCAACAAATAAAGTTTTATTGACAGTCTTGGAAAAAAAGTCTAATAATAGTTTTAATAATCACTTATAGTGCCTACAAAATGTACATTCAAAATTTAATAGTTTATAAATGTATGATGACTCAAAAATAATTTAAAAAAATTAAATAACTTATAATTATAAAAAATTATTTTTGAGTCAAACATTTTTTAAACTATTAAATTGTGAATTTTTATCATATTCTACAGTTTAAAGTTTTTTTTCTTGCATATTTTCACGATTTTGAGTGCATATTATATGGCATATTTTGACACTTTTAGTGTGTAAAAATGCGTTTTCTAAATTGATAATTATAAAAAAAATCCCAATTTCTTCGTAAAAATTCGTCATTCAGTCATTGCAAAAATATATCAATGCGAAAGGCGAAACAGCAGACTCGCGGTGGCGATTCTATGGTATATATTACTATTCTAGGTAGGTATATTGGTATATAGTAATTACTAATTACTTATTAGTTATTTGTTATTAGTTTATTACCTACTTAATACTTATTACTAGTAAGTTATTAGTCAGGTACCTATTAGGTACATACTTATTAGTTAGTAGGTACCTACTCAATGCCCATCCATCATTATTGAATTTCAATATTTTTGTTATTATTTTTTCATTATTTTCTGTTAAGTGGATACCTACTTTAGTATTATACGACTAATACCTATAGTCGCCAGAGGAGTGTTATTAACTTCATACTGAAGACATTAAGTTACACTGACATCATGCATTTGAAATTTGAATGACCTGGAAAATCTCGGTGACAATTTTTTTTTTTTTATATCATGTTATGATGGTTAAAGGGCCCCTCATCAATTTTCCCCTGGCTTCATGGGTACAACCGAAGACCTATAAACTGATGGACAGCGCTTATAGAGAGAAGTCAGGGGTACGATATATAGTGAGTGAGAAAAGAAACAAAGTAGTAAAATGTATACATAACATTGACGGCAGGGAGGATTGGAATGCGCTGTCCATTAGTATTTAATTTATAGGTCTATGGGTACAACGGCAAACGGCTATGTCGCTTTGCGTTGGAAATGCGAAGCACAAGTGCACGAAACGCGACGCGGTAACACTGCGGACATGGTCGGCGGCGGCGTACGACTCTTGTTTGCGGGGGCGGCGGCGGCGGCGACGCTGACGAGTACTATATTATAATCGGCCGTTTCACTTTCCATTTTCCGATTTCCACTTACCCAGCCACCCGAGAGACCACCCGGTACCCAACCGACCCGGACCACCCACATAGGGCGAGTTCGGTTTGACGCACAGTTGGAATGCGATGGATACCCAAAACCCGATTGGTCGTGTAGCATTAGATTTATATTTATATAATATTGTCGTCGGTTGATTAAAATGTTAAAATTGAATTTGTGGTATTTTTCCGCTTGAAAAAATCGAAACTTTCCCATGACCTATGTGTGCGAGAAGGTATACGCGAGCGGCAAGCTGTCATTCACGAGACAGACACGTGCGGCGGCCTCTTGTTCACCATATCGTTATACGAGACGCATTGTAGAATAACTCTTTATTATCATATTATTATGTATGGTAATCGTATGACCTATCATCCTACGAAAAATATTATGCAAATCTCGTCGTTGATAATATTATAATAAAATATTATGTCATGCGTTATCAATCCCCGGTGCTTAGGTTTGGGAAGCGGTCGTACAATAATAATAATATAAATAATTATTATGAATACGACGAATAATATCGTCGTGCGTACATCGTAGGCCTCTTTGGTGCTCGCGTGTTTGTGTGCTACGGACGGACGGGCGGGCGGGCGGGCCGGTGCACGGCGGTAATAATAATAATAATAATAATTTTGATAAAATAAAAACAGCGATAGCGACCATTTGCTCGTCGTCGCGGTCGGTCGTCTTCACTCGTCCATAACCGATAATAATAATAATAATACAACGCACGCAAAGACGACGACGACGACAACCACACTGTATTCCGGTGCCTATCGCCGCCGCCGCCGCCGCCTCCGCCGCTTCCGTTCTCGCACGGTCACCACCGAGTACCGACAACAGCCGCCGCCGACGACGACGATTTGCGCGCGCGGACGACGTCGTTCCGTTTCACGTTTGGCGCTTTAGTCGTTTATCAGACATTGGCCGTACGCTTCCCCGCCACTTCCGCCGCCGTCGATCATTAATCCCGCGTCATCGACGGGGACGTCCCTCCTCGTGTACAATGACAGCCGGCCGGTCGAAACGCGTCTAACACAAATAATTTAATATTGTTATTCAATCGTCCGACTCGCGTCGTGTCGGTCTGTAGTGCCTGTTTTCCGGTCGTTCGGTTACTTACTCTCTTTCGAATTTAATATAATTACCGACTTTTTGTCGTCGACGACCCGCCGTCCGGTCGTTTTCGTTTCGTCGCTTTTCCATTTTCTTTTGCGGCGATCATGGCTGTCAACGGTACCGACGTCAACAAGGTGACCGTTGTCCTAGGGGCCCAATGGGGCGATGAGGGCAAGGGCAAGGTGGTCGATATGTTGGCCACCGACGCGGACCTCGTGTGCAGGTGTCAGGTGAGAAGAAACCTTGCACGTTACTAATAGACCGTATGACCGTACTCAATCATTCACCGTGATGTATATTTTAATTTTTCACCGTCGATTTCAGTATTTTACCCTTTCGAGTGAGATTTTGACGGCCGTCCTACCATACGATCGCAACAACAACAAAAATCATAATAATAACTTTCAAGGTTGGTGATGCGCGGCAGACGGCTCTATATTTTTATTATTATCTGCATTTTTTATCATTTATTTTTTTTTTCATTTTACCTTCGCGGCCATAAGGTCAACGCGCAGTGTTCCTCTCTGCATTCGCACACAGGAATGAGAGACATCAAAAAATATATTTAAATAAAAATCCGCCGTGCAGTGCCAAAAAAATTTCGAATTTTTTTCCATCTCAAATGCTTTGGCCTTCTATTCTTTTTAATATTTTTCATGTCATTGCGTGCCACCAACCTAGGTGTTATTTTTATAATTTTTTTTTTTTTTTGTCGCCTTCGTTGAAAAATTATATTTTATTTTATGCAAGACTTGGCGGTCTTGGCTTACTGTGCGATGGCAATGAGTTTTATTACCTCCAACACATACCATTAAGTGCTCTGTAACAGCATTTACTAGGTACCTACTTATTAATTACACTGTCAACCAACCGTCATTAAATGTTTCTTCCTCTTTTCCACAGGTTGCAACATTTTCCCGCTATTTTTTTTTTTTTTTTTGTAGTTCACTGTGTCATTTTAATAAACTTCTATTTTTTTTACAATTGACACTAATGTTAAATGTATCATTTAATCTTGTCTAATGGGATTAAGTATCTTGAACAATTATGTTAGGTACAAATTATAAGTGGTTAACTATGATTTTTCTTAAGCCTTTTACTTATTCCCAATTCTTGTCAGAATGGGTTAGGTATTGGTTTATTATTATTATTATTATTATTATTCAAAATTAATGCATTGAGTATTGTTTTAACAGTACCCATCACTTAGGTTGTTTAACAATACATTTGCGGATACTAGTATACTACGTTAATTTGTTATTAAATGTCAAATTTTTATTTTAGGGAGGAAACAATGCAGGCCACACTGTTGTTGTGGATAATAAGGAATTTGATTTTCACTTGTTGCCTAGTGGAATTATAAATCCTAATTGCAAATCTGTTATTGGTAAGATATGAATTATTTTGTTATTAATTAATTAATTATTTATCCTTTTCTTTAGTTTGTTACATAGGTACTTGAGAACTATAATACACCAATAGGCAATTAAAATAAACTACCTATTGTCCACCAATCTAAATATAATAAACATTTTTAGTAGGTACCCGGGTCATTATTATCCCAAAAAAATGTTTGAGAATGGTTCTCTAAAAATCATTATGTTGAACTATTACCTTTATAGGCAACACTATAAAAAAAAGTAGGTATTACAACAAGATAATGGACTTGCTTAATTCATCGCAAGCTAATGGTATATTATTATTATCATCAATTTTCTAACAATGATAATCCATTACATTTAGTTTACCTTTCTCGGAAAAGCTCAATTACTTATTTATTATGTTAGTTGAAAATTAACATTTTTCAGTTTTTGCCATTTACACAACAAATGTTGGACATTTTCCAATTTTATGACATTTGTTTATTAGTACATTCCAAGGTAGGTACAATTTGTGTAAAACTTTTGATATTAAAAATGCTTACTGAAAAAAAAAAATAGCTATTTTTATAGTGTTATTTTAATTATTATAATACCAAATATATCAAAAATCCTAAATTTAAAATTTTTTAGGTGCCTATATATAAACTTTTAATAATTTTTAACTTGCGTCTAACCGGTACCTATAAATTCCGTACCCCATCGGACCACAAAGTGATGCGGTTAGGTGGGACATTTGTTTTACCCTGGCCCACCAAATGGATAGTGTGGCCAAATCCTAAATCTGTAATATTTTGATATTCAATTGACAATTGGTAATATGAAGAGAATAATAACACTCTTAATTCACATTTTGTATAATTGTTATTAGGTATATGGGTAAAAATAGCTTAAAAATGTTATATTATGAAACTATTACTCACCTGCAACCATAGCTAACTAGCAACACTAATTAATACATCAACACATTAATTTGTATAATTTTAACATAAAATTAATAATTTGTATGTTCAAAATATGATAGGTAATGGAGTTGTTATCCATCTACCTGGGTTATTTGAAGAGTGCAGTAAAAATGAAAAGAAAGGGCTGTTGGACTGGAAGAAACGATTGTTAATTTCTGATCGTGCTCATCTTGTGTTTGATTTCCATCAGGTACCTGGCCATACTATTTGTCAATACATTAACTGTAGAATTTAAACCATAGAAAGTTTCACATAAAATGTGACTTGATCATAGTGTGCCATGAGGTGGTTTTTGTCAGGATTACTCATAATAGCGCGTAAATAAGGCGGGAAATTTGAAAAGGTGTCCGTTTCTTATTTATGAGACATTATGTTTAAATGAAATCGAACACCCGGCGCGAAATGATCGATTTGTACTTGATGTGAAACTTAATATAGTGTTTATATAATTATTAAAGACTTGAGAACATACAAAACTGAATAAATTGTCATTTTTATTTATACAAAGTGATTTAAATTTGAATAATAGATTCATTTTTTGATTAATAACTATTAATAATAGTTAGGTACTTTTGTATTAATCTGCCTAATTTAAAATATTTTAATTTAGTTTTATAATATACTTCTCCTAATTCCATATATTATTCTATTTTATTAATCTATATTTATACCTATATAATACCATTGCTTAAGCCATAAAAACAATGACATTTTTACTACTATGTCATTATTTTTAGGCATTAATACAATGTTGTAATAACTAACTACCTAGCTAATATGCATAATAATGCAATTTATTAAACATAAATGTTGATTTGACAATAGTCATGATTAATTTTTCATTTTTAAGAAGTAATACCTACATAACTTGTATTCATATAATTACTACAGTTTTGCCATATTTTATTATGCCATTACAATCATTTTTGTATTTGTGTGTGCCAGACACCAAACTATACCAACTAAATTGTTATATTGCATGACTTCTAAATGACAATTGTTTATAAAGATTTTTGCTCCATGTTGAGTATGAATATTAAATTCTTATTTTGTATAAATTATTATAGCCATTATTGTTGTTATAAGTAGTAGTAGGTAAACAAGTTTATGAATATTAAATACCCCTTGAAAATAAAAATATTTAGACAAGGTTAAAGGGTCATTTTATCATACACTAATTTTGATATCATGGTTATGAATGTATTTATTTATTTATATATTTTATTAAATATAGCAAGTGGATGGTCTCCAAGAAATGGAAAAGGGTAAAAAGTCTTTGGGAACAACGAAAAAAGGTATTGGGCCAACTTATGCTTCTAAGGCTACTAGAAATGGTCTAAGATTAGCAGATTTACTTGGAGATTTCAACACGTTCAAAGAAAAGTTAGTTGAGTTTCTAATTAGTTAAGCAAATAAAAAGTAATTAATATACAAGGTTTTGTAATAGTTAACTTTGAAGTATATAATATGAAGTATTTATAAATTCATCAAATTTTTTTTTGAAAATATTTTATACTTATACTTTTTATATAAAGTGTCTTCTATATTCTTCTTTCTTCTGTCTTTCCTTATGGTTTTTAATTTTTATACACTTACCTTTATATTTTATTATGTTATATTATGTACCTACATAAATACTTCATTCAAATACTTCATGCTCACCCGTGTTCACCTAACTGTTAAATATCGGTCAAAAAATTTGAACAATATTGATAATTATGATTTCTATTTCAAAAATCATTATATATTCGCAATAATCTCAATTTAACCTATTTTAAATTAAAATTTATTTGTAAATCATAATTATATTTCTAATTAAATTTATGTTTTAAGGTTTTACAACTTGGTTGATATACATAAACGTATGTTTCCATTACTAGAAGTTGATCCAGAAGAAGAATTAAAGAAATATGAATACTATGCTAATGAATTAAGACCATTAGTAGTGGAAACTGTTGGATATTTGCATACCGCATTAAAAGAAGGAAAACGAATTTTGGTGGAAGGTGCTAATGCGGCAATGTTAGATATTGATTTTGGTAATAACATCATTGATATCTAAGATATTTGTTTCATAATGAATAAAGTAATTAAATAGTTTTAAAAAATTAATAGGTACATATCCATATGTAACATCGTCAAATTGTAGTATTGGTGGTGTTTGTACTGGTCTTGGTTTACCTCCATCAAGAATTGGTGATGTTATTGGAGTTGTCAAAGCATATACTACAAGAGTTGGTGATGGGCCATTTCCAACAGAGTTATTTGATGTAAATACTTGTTTTATATACAAAATGTTAAAATTTCTAATATTCTACTTTAATTTTATTTATCTATTATCTAAAATTAGTATTAATGAATTAATATAACTCAATAATGACATCAGTTTGTGTAAGAAAATCAAAATAATGTTTTTGAATTACATTTAGGATGTTGGTGAAAAGTTACAAACCATTGGAAATGAAATTGGTGTTACCACTAAGCGGAAGCGTCGTTGTGGGTGGTTGGATATCCCGCTCCTAAAATATACTTCAATGGTCAATGGATATACTAAGTAAGAATTATTTTAAACATATATGCCAATTAATTAATTGTTGTATTGTTCAACATCTTATAATAATAAAAACGATGAAGCTTATTTAATTTAAAGTTATAAAATTTAATAATTTAAAAATATTTAAATACTCCAAGTATAGTAATTTATTAAAATTTCAGTATTATATTTAATAATTAGTGTTCGGTTTTAAGCTTTAGCAATAACCTATACTCTGTTCAAAATAAGAACCGTAGTCAGCGGCCGAGTTCTGCGCATGGGCGTGGCTTTGTTCTGTCGCCGCCGACTATTGTTCTTATTTTGAACAGAGTATAAAGCTGTATATTTGGGATCAACACATGAATTATTGAATTAAATAAAAAAGTAAAAATGTATCATTTATAACCTGTGGCATATTTTTATTTTTAAATTTATGTTTAACACTAAACAATTTTTACATACATTTAAAGAGTAAGATTATGGTTTTGTTATGAAATTGTAGTTCTGATATTGTATTGAACTTTCTTAAAATATTTTATAATACTATTTGTTTATAACCATACAGCATAAATACAGTAGAAATCGATTATTACGAGTTTTAAGGCCCAGCAAGTTTTTCTCATAGTAATCAGTAGTTCATACAGTTATAACCAATTAGTAATACAATTAATAACCAATTTAAATCCGTACTGCATTCATCATACAAAGCATTTAAAATTCACTAATATGATTCGGGATTTGAAGACAAATGCCATTTTTTTTATAACAATAGAAAAATAATTTTTAAATTAAAATGTGTCATTTATTTTATAACATAATTTGAAATAATTTTTTATGCCTTTTTTCCTATAAATGTCTTTCCTCTATTTTTTAATTTGTATTCGTTTAAATATCAATTGGCCTGATAATTTTCTATACCTGTCGACGGAACAAATAGATACGAGCTTGTAAAGACGACGCATTTTCGATGTGTTTAAAATTAGTTTTAATGGGATTTATTATTGGTAATATTGATAAAATATTTGGTACGGCAAGTTAATTGATTGTTTTTGTACATAGTAGTTTTTTTTTTTTAATACAAACTAGTGAAATCAACTGAAATCTATTTAATTGTTTAGTAAATTTTGTAATTGCTTTTTCATTAATTTTTTTAGTCTTTTCACATTTAAAATGATTTTTTTATCGTTTATTTTGCCTTAAAATCTGAACCCTACACTTGGTAACTCAAAGCTCATGGGGGAAAAAAAAATTCCTCTTACTGAAAATGTAGAGTTATTAAAATCTTAATGTACCTATTATTGTTATTTGAAGGGAAATTTTATGTTCGAGATGTTGAGAATTTCGAGTTACCGATAATTCATTGTGTTAAGTTTTTCAGCCAGTTAGTCTAAATATGATATATTGAACTGACGCTACTCCTAGGGTGTATTTACATGTTTCCTACTTATAGACTTGTAAAAAATGTCCACTTTATTTAACTAAAATATACCACGTTATCACTTAATTACTATAAAGTATAATTTAATTCAGCAGTTATGGCAACAAAATATTAATTAAATACTATAACAAAATATTTAAAAGTTAAAATCAAATATATTAATAATTAATAACAAGATGTGAGCATATATTCGAACTCGGGCATGATAATTACTAACACTACTAATTAAATGATTGATTTACATCGATATTTGGGCCTTACAAATGTATCAATTAAATCTTCGAAATTCAATTCTTTGAACTTTTTATTTTATTTTATTGACCAATGCTAAAAAATTGTTCAACTTTTCATCTTTTTGTGTGGATCTTTTGGCGTAAAAAGAATCTCTCTGTTGTACATTTAGACACCGGTACATTCACAACAATTCTCAATGCTGTGTCGATATTTGGAAATATTTCAATATGTAGACATTTTTTCTCAAATACTTGCATAGTGTGATTGAAGTTAAAATTACCTTTATCAATATAACTATTCAATAAATGAGATTGCAAATGTAAATGTTTTGTAAGACTGTTGTCATTTCTCAAGTTCATTATTCATTTTATTGTTGAATAAAAATGTTATTTCAAATGTTTCAATAAGAAACTATAAAAATTATAAATTCATACCTATTTAAATTATAACCAATTTTATTGTGGTTAAAAATTTAAAAATAGATGTATTCTAGCTATTGCCTATTGGAATATATATAACATACTTTATAACAGAAAACCTGAAAACGTATACATAATAAATATGGCTGAGTCAATAATATTATATACAATACATACCATCTATATTGAGAAAAAATTCCCCTTATTAAGTTAGCATCTGTAGGCACGTGGCTGCACATAAATATGCCAATGGAAATTTGTAATTATTATAAACTCGAAAAGACCAAAACCTGTAGAAGTCTTGTTTATATAAAACGCAAAATTAAAATATAATTGTAGTAACTAATAAGTAATGCATAATACAACCAAACATTATGGACAACATTCATAGTAATCGGAAGGGTATTTTATTTACTAGTTATAATCAAGGTATCTCATGTTTTAACCATACTCGCTGTAAACATATCTTTTAATGGACACCTGCTGGGACTTGGCATTTATAAACAGTATTCCGTTGTACTGTTATCTGCTGTATGTTTATTTCTTAAATATTTGAATAGAATAAAATAATGACAATGTTAATCTTTTTAACATTAAATAATTAATAATTATATTACAATTTTAGAATTTGTTTGACAAAACTTGACATACTAGATACTTTTGATGAAGTAAAAATTGGAGTGGAATATCAGTTAAACGGAAAAGCGCTCAACTATTATCCATCCAGTTTATTTGAACTTTCATCCGTTGAGGTATGTATAATTTCATAATAGTATTTATCCACTTTCATTATGTTAAATATTAGAAAACATTTGTATTTATGAACGTGCTTATAAATTTACTTGTTTAGGTTAAATATTTAACTTTGCCTGGTTGGAAAACTAATATCAGTGGCATAAGACATTTTGATAACTTACCGGAGAATGCAAAACAATTTGTGTTTACTATCACAGAACTCCTCGAAGTACCAGGTAATTTAATTTTTAGTTAAAAAAAAAAAATTATTAATAGACTGATAGTCACATTTTATTTATCTAAACATAAAACATTTAAGATCTATACAAAAGTTATATTAGTCAATATGACATTAAAATGTCATGGTCAAGTTTTTTTTTATAAACTATTTATTGTTTATTGTTATTAATTATTATTTGAAAAAATAAATAGCTTAGCTCAATATAATATATTATTATGTTTTCTCTCAGACCCACATTGATAAAACGCTTTCACCTAAAATCGTTTTTATGATTTTTGAGTAAATCACCTATTACAAAAATTATAGAGGATAATGAATTTGACCGTATGACATATTATGGGTGTTATATTTTATTATTATTTGCCTTGTATTCGACTTACAAAATAAGAAAAAATTTGTAAATTTAAATTTTCAATTGTTATTGAGATAATATTTAGGCAAATGGATGTCATACCCTCAAAAAAATTATTCTCAATTGTTTTTGTAATGTTTGAAGATTACTAAAAAAACAAATTATTATGTGTAAATGCGTTTTATCTATGTAGGCGAGAGAGAGAAAACAAACAACGAGCATCCTCTTAAATAATGTAAGGTACTTTTAACATGTAACTTAAATGTTTTATTTTTGACAAAGAAAAGTTACTTACAAAATATTATTGTACTAATTTAAATTATAATTTTATTTCTTTCATAGTATTAAATTGAAATTTAATTTTATTGATAGTTACTATTTATACAATTATAAATTATACTGGTAAAAACAATGATAAACTTCCGACTGAAATACTGTATTTACATTTATAATACAAATTATATATTTTTTTTTTTCAGTTAAATGGGTTGGAGTCGGCCAAGGAAGAGAATCAATGATTAATGTTGATAATTGATTTTTTCTTTTTAAATATTCACTGAATAAGTTTAATTTGATCAAGTTATTACTCAAGTTGGTAAATGTTTAAAGCACAAATTACATTTTTTATGCTCTTAAATTTCAACTGTCGAAGTTAATACAATTATTATACAATTCAAATATACTTCTTTTAGACTTAAACTTTTATCAAACTAGTCAGACTAGTAACTTGGACCAGATAAATATTACAGACAATAAAATCAGAGATTAATGTATATTTCAAATGTGTATTTTGAGTTAAGTTTAAAATTACAATTTAGATAACATATAAAATGTGGTATAATAATGGCTTGAATACTTATAAACAAAATTATAATTTATAAAACATCAGAATTAAGTGTTTCTGTTTTTATTTTTAAATTAATAACCATTGTGTATCGTTATCATTTCAATTGAATAATGTTGCACTTAATATTATTTTCTTTTGTGAAAATTAACTGGAAAAATTCTTTCTGGTTATAAATATTTTTTATTTTATTTAATTTTTTTTATAATTGTAAATACATCTATTGTTTTCCATGTTGTTACATTGTTAAACATATTTAAGCAAAAATAATATTTCGTTATGAATGTTATGATGTATACTTTAAAACACAATTAAATATTTTACCACATCTGTATGAGCTGTTATTATTTTTTAATTTTGATCAGTTGTCCAAATTACATGTAATTTATGCTAATCATTTACTTTTAAGCTCCTCCATAGTATTACCATCTAGAACAGTTTTTCTCAATCAATGTGTCGTGTATTACCTTGATGTATGTCGCTAAAAAAAAATAGTTTATTTCTAATATACATATTCAAAGTATAAATATACAACATTATTATGGTGTTATGATGTAATGTTATTAACCATAGATAAGAAAAAAAATTTTGATGATCGTCTCATCCTCAATTTAAACATAGTATCTAAATTAAGGTGAAGTCGTAAAAAAAAGGTTTAGAAGTACCTAATGATCTAGAGCAGGGGTCTCCCAACTACGGCCCGCGGCCGGATACGGCCCTCTAACAAGTTTTAACCGGCCCGTGGCCCGCATAGGACGCATAGGTAAATATAGATAAAATATTATTTCAAAAATGTATTTATATTATATTATATTTATACCTATTTATTTTTATTTAAGTATATTGTAAAGTAAACAATATTTTATACAAAAATATAAAGTAAACATATTATTTATATAGTTAGGTACCTAATATATTATCATAAAATTAAAAACGATATGTGTTAATAAACTTTTGGCCCGCTAAGAGCATTTGATTTTTTTTGTGGCCCTTGAATAAAAAAGTTTGGAGACCCCTGATCTAGAGCCACACAACTGCTGCTCAAATCTATGACTAGTATGCAATACATATTATCCTCTCCTCTGGTATATAAGGTATCATAGTGTAAGTCTATATCATAGACATATACATTTATTTATTTATTAATAGACATTTAAATAAATTGACTGCGAGAGAGAAACATGAAACCGAAATTGAATGAGGAGATAGGAACCGTTGGGGGCAACCGGCAACCATGGAGGAAATAATTTAATACTAAAATTATTCCATGATATTATCAACTATTATATCACTACCACGATTAAAGATCCACAACCACTCTCTCTCGTTGGTCTCACTTTCTTGGTTGGCTGCACCTCCCGGTATAGCGGCGTCCGTGATTGAGATTGCCGGCATTCCAAGAGGCAGCTCGCTTTTTTTCCCCTCGACCGCCGAATCGTCAAGTACCCCCTGCTCGACTTACTCCGCCATCTTGTCACTTCGCCGAACACGACCTTGACCTTGCTTCGCTACGATGGCTACGACGCCAACACTAGCAAGCGTCTCAACGATCCGTTCGGTACGACGCGGGTCATTGCGTTAAGCCTCACGCGACGGAAACTCGTTCCGAGTACGCGCGACATATTTCCCCTCCCGATGAACCATGTGCAATGACCGACGCATACGCATTAATAATTCTTTATTTTCATCATTTGGTTCAACAATCTTCGTTCTAAGATCTTCTTAGTTCATGGTTCAATAAACTATAATATTTAACATCTATGTCGTTGTTCATATCATCCCGATTCCCGATTGTTGGCCATATGAATTACAATAATTTCAAGGCATAAATGGATAATAATATTATTTCTTTCATGATTGCCCCCGACTATATCCATCTCACTAACAAATTTTACTTTTAAGATTCTGATTGATGAAGGGTGAGGAAAGCGCATTCCATTTATTTATATGTCTATTAGTTTGAAGTAATGACGTGGTGGTCTCCAATAAACTTAATTTCAGTACCTATAGCGTGTGTGATTTTACTTGCATAACTATCAATGAATTCAATAAATTGCTATTGCAATCCAGAAATAATGCATTGAATACTTAGGTAGTCTTCAATTCAGTATTTACAATACATTTAACATTATAAATACCTAATAACATAATCACAGTAATTTTTAAAGAACTTATATTTTAGATTCTGAGTGAAACGATGAAAGTATATTGATTTTACAATGATGTGTGTTTTTTTAATTTTTTAATATTTTTTTGTGTCTGTAATCACGTTTTAGGACAGTAAAAGTGCTTGGATTTTCTTCAACAGTAGCTTTTCTGATAGGAAAGTGAATCTAGTTGGTACATTGGGGGGGAGGGGGGGTCAAAAGTGAAAATTTCCCAGTAGTTTTCAAAAGCGGAGTGAAAAACGGAAATTTTTACACTAAAATCTGTTTTCGAAAAAATCGATTTTGGTTTTTGGTGCAACTCTTAAACAAATGACCGTAGGTACATGAAATATTGACTGAATGTTTATATTAACATTTTCTATACACGATAACATTTTTAAAAAGTTTTAATTTATTTTGAACTGTATAGGCATATTTTCATTTTCCATTATTTTTTAGTTTTTTTTCTAAAAATATCAATACAATTTTATTTGTTGGTTTCGAAAACTTGAAAATTTAATACAAGGCTCCTAGTATATTGTTTCAATGGCAGATAAAAAATATTAAAAATCCTTAGTCACACTTTTTTTTAAAAATCATTTTTAAGTTCAAAAATTGACAAAATATGGAAAAATCACGAAAATTAGCAAATTATTTTGAGTTAAGAATTCGTAAGAATGTTTCTTTTTAAATCTAAGGTTTTAAAATGTAATACATGATTCCTTATAAGATAATCTACCTTTATTAAAAAAAAAAAATATCTATAAGAAACTCAAATTAAATTTTTATGAGCATTTGAAATTCAAATTTTACAACATTGGATATTCACTCGATTTCTCATGTAGCGATTTCCTTATTTTGTTGTAATTAAAAACGAATAACTGTAGATACATGAAAATTTCATATTAGCATTTCCTATACACTGTACAATTTTGAAAATATTTTAACTCTTTTTGAGCTGTTTACGGACATTTTTAGTTTTTTATTCTATAAATATCAATAAAGTTTTATCTGTTGGACCAAAAAGTGTAAAATTTAATACAAGGCTTCTGATATATTGTTACAATAGCAAGTGAAAAATGTTAAAAATACATTTGCACAATTTTTTTTTATAAGCATTTAAAGATCGAATTTTGACAAAATTTATCAAAATTTCGAAAATTATCAATCATTGTAATTAATTATAAAATGTTCAGTTTTTATAGCTAAGGATTGCAAATTGAAAACAAAGAGTCTCATAAATAGTTCATATACTGTAACCAAAAAATCTAAAAAATATATGAACACAGTTATTTTTTACAGACATTTTAAATTCAAATTTGGACGAAATTACATAATAAAATCTAGAATAACTATTTTAGTTATTTTGTTGCGATTGTATAATATTATTCGTGGGTACTTGAAACTATAGGAGTGGGAAAATATTGTGTACGACAATGTCTGAAATACCAGCAGGAATGCGGGATACTAGAATATTATTATAATGTTTCTGTTTTAATTAATTATTCATTAGAAGTAAAAGTAGTAAAGAGTAGGTATCTGACTAACCAGCGATTAATAGCCAAAAAGAATTTTGATAATACACACCACACACCAAATAATTAAAGCTAAATACTTTTCGTCGAGAGCTAATGGCTTTTATTATAAATCGACAAATCGTTAATCGGATTGTGTGACTGTCTATGGCAATAATATTTATGTGAGAGTCGGATAGTTTTTTTTTTTTTTAATGTAAAATATATTCTAACCTAGAATATTATATTTTAGATTATGAGTGAAACGATGAATGTATTGATTTTACAATGATGTGTGTTTTTTTTTTTAATTTTAATTTTTTTTTGTGTCTGTCATCACGTTTTAGGACCGTAAAAGTGCTTAGATTTTCTTCAACAGTAGCTTTTCTGATAGGAAAGTGAATCTAGTTGGTACTTTGGGGGGTCAAAAGTAAAAATTTCCCAGTAGTTTTCAAAAGCTTCGTGAAAAACACAATAAAAATTAAGGAAAAACAGGAATTTTTACACTAAAATCTGTTTTCGAAAAAATCGTTTTGGTTTTTGGTGTAACTTTAAAACAAATGACCGCAGATACATGAAATTTTCACTGGTTGTTTATATTAGCATTTTCTATACACGATAACATTTTCAAAATATTTTGATTTATTTTGAACTGTTTAGGGACATTTTCATTTTCCATTTTTTTTTTAGTTTTTTTTCTAAAAATATCAATAAAATTTTATTTGTTGGTTGCGAAAGCTTGAAAATTTAATAGAAGGCTCCTAGTATATTTTTTCAAAGGCAGATGAAAAATATTAAAAATCCTTAGTCACAATTTTTTTTTTATGCATTTAAACATTTTAAAGTTCAAAAATTGACAAAATATGGAAAAATCACGAAAATTAGCAAATTATTATGAGTTAAAAATTTTTCTTTTTAAATCTAAGATTTGAAAATGTAATACAAGATTCCTTATAAGGTTATCAACCTTTATCAAAAAAAAAAAAAACCCAGAATAACTATTTTAGTTATTTTGTTGTAATTGAATAAT